CCATAAAAATTATTTATATTAATGATGTCTCCAAAGGTCAAGTTATTTTTCTGCGAAAAATTCGTTATTAGAAATCGCGGCCGCCGTTTCATGTGCTGTTCCGCAACAAAAACCAGCTTTAAGCAACGGCGTAGTCGAACGGTACACACTCGGTAAGTAATCCTATAATTTTTTGTTTATAGCATAGTTTATACAGATTATTTCCAAAAAAATTATACGTGTTTTGGAAATGTTGAGTGGAATTAGTCTAGAATCGGTTAATTTTATAGAAGAAAACCTTTCGAACAGCCTTAGTCCGTAAAGTTTCCACCTATCGGGCTGCGATTGGCTCATGTATTTAATCATTCCTACAACGTAAAATTCGATTAGCGTGGAACGTATCTAAGCGTTATAGGGGGGTCTACTGTATTCTGAAAAAATTAATTATGTACCAAATAATATTTTTAAAGGAACAAAGAATCAGTTGAAATATTTTTTCAGATGACAAATTTTGACCATTGGTGTCAAAGACTGGTTTTAAATAGGAATAGGGGAGGAGAGCAGGCTATAAGAAGTTGAACAATATTCTTTGACAACTTAACCAGATTAAACATAATCACTATTTATTGTTATACATATTAATGTTATTAAACTTCTGTCTTATTGTTGGAATTAAGCTTACGATATCAAAAAACTATAAATTATTATGACTATAAAACTATTCTTGTCAAATCAAACTTTTCCAAAATTTCATTTGACAAGATCCATAGTATACTTGTAATGAAAAAGAAAAGATTATAAATGCAAGTAAACTAAATATCTTCACATATTTTAAAATGGTTAGCAAATCATCTTCGTTACACAATCTTTGAACTTTCACCAATTGATGTAACTGTTTTAACAGCTTTGATTAAAAATTATACTTTAGCCACCACAATCAGTTACTGAAAAAAGCAAAAAATGTTTGAAAAGTTACACCTACTTGATAACTACACTCTGTATTAGTTTTTATTAATTGCTTAGATCATAAATGGCATTATAAATGTAACAATTCTGAATATATTTCCCACCCCATAAAGTGGATAGCAAATCATCATCATAACTCAACATTCAAATGATATTCAATTAAAACCAAATTTTTACAACTGAAAAAACAAATATATTTTATACATATTATAATTATACAGTAGACCCCCCTATAACGCTTAGATACGTTCCACTTTATAAGAATCTTACGTTGTAGGAATCCTTAAATACATGAGCCAATCACAGCCCGACATGTGTGAAGTTTATGGACTAAGGCTGTTTGAAAGGTTTTCTTCTATAAAATTAACCGATTCTAGACTAATTCCACTCAACATTTCCAAAACACGTATAATTTTTTGGGAGTAATCTGTATAAACTATGCTATAAACAAAAAATTTATAGGATTACTTACTGAGTGTGTACCGTTCGACTATGCCGTTGCTTAAAGCTGGTTTTTGTTGCGGAACAGCACGTGAAACGGCGGCCGCGATTTCTAATAACGAATTTTTCGCAGACAAATAACTTGGCCTTTGGAGACATCATTAATAGAAATAATTTTTATGGCCGTTGAATAAGAAGTGTTTTTCACAAGAAATGTATAAAATTAGTGCTGTATTAGACTCACGGTACCTAATTTACATACTGTACAGACGATAATAAACTCAACTTACTGGCCTAAAATCTCCGTAGCGTGTTGCCAGGCGGCAGAAAGCATATATATAATTATAATAAAGTTACAATAAATTAAGTTAATATATAATTATATATACAGTACCTAATTTATATATAATTAATATATAATTATATGTACAGTACCTAATTTATATATAATTTATATATAATACTAAACAGACGATAGCAAACTCAATTTAGCCGCTCCGTAGCGTGGTGCAGGGCGGAGGAAAGTAGTTCGGCTGCTCATCCACTATTGGTCCAGACTCTATCAATCTTGTCGTGAAACGACGTTATAGGAGGTATTTTATACAAAAGTTTCTACAATTTTTTCGCTACGTTATAGGAATTGTCGTTATAGGAACATACGTTATAGGGGGGTCGACTGTATTGTATATTGCTTGACAAAGGTTCACCCCGGTGCTGAAAGTGGAACAGTTCCTATATTTCAACTGTAATTTATTTTAAATTTAAAAATTTTTCATTGTACAGAAATTAAGCATACCAAGATAAAAACTCACAATTTTGCAGATATAAAGATAAAAAGACTATTCAAATCAATGCATAAAGAGCTAGTATTGGTCTTTAAATTAAATTAAGCTGGTAAACTATAATGTTTATAGGAACTCCAAAGAGTTGGTATACCAGCATATGCATAGAATCATTCAATTCTGTGATCTGTGATGAGGTGTATGCAGATGCTGCAAATTTTGCAACAACAATCTGCATTTTAGTGAATACTCCTCCTCCTCCCATTGGTTGGCTGACAAAAATTATGAAGGATAAGTGAAATTTTAAGAGAGAGCTTATTCAAATTTCTAAGAATAAAAAAAAGAGAGAAATATTTAATATTTCCACGACACACCTGATGCACTTTTGCTTCAGGTGTGTCATGGAAATGTGTCTTCATGGTGCACAGGTTGGAAAACACTGCTCTATCGGTAAAAAAGTTATTGCTTGCATATCTAACATTTCAGGAATGTTAGCATAAGTTCTCAATCTTTTTTTGGCTCAGGGTATACTATAATATGTGAATTTTTCTGGCACACTACTTACAAAATTAAAAAATCTGAGCTTCCCTACTTGCAAACTTCCGGACTTATAATTTGACCATACATCTAAAATTTAAATTTCATGCAGATTCTGAAGTTCTCTTACTGGTTGTGGGGTGACATTGAAGTTAGTATTAGCCAGTAATAATAAATAAATAATGTGGATGTATTTCTATCTCATCTTCATTTTTTCATTTTCGTACAAATTCTTATGTTCCATTGCCACTGGTGAGGTAATGTTGAAGTAATGGCATTTTTTGCTATTGTTTACAATTCTTATGAACTTTTACAAATAATGCTTCAAAAATGCATCTAAAATGTAATAGTAAATCTAGTGATGGAGATAATGGCTCTATTACAATGTTAATTAAAACACATTATAGAACTAAGTGCCTTAGGTGGGAAATAAAAATACATTTGAAACACCTGCCACTAAGCAGTAGTGAGCAGGTAAGCTAGCATAATGTATTCTATTAAGTATATTGAAGGATCAAACACTAACAACACATGATTATTCATGTACAGATGTGTGCTTTCTAGATTAGTTTTCAACTTACGACAAAACCCCAGGAACCTAACCTGTTCATAAGTAGGGGAATGCCTGTATTAACATATTTTAAATTATATATAGTTGTGTACCATAGTAACTAAGGTTGTTAGGTCTTAAATTAATAGCTATGTTAGGTCTATTATGGATTAATAAATATTTGCACAAATTGTTTTTCATTTTTCAAATATACAAACCTAACTTTCATAATATTTTTGATGCATTAAGCCATATCTTGGGATACACTGGTTGAGGACCAGTAGCATAAGTAAATCATTTATTTATTATACTGATTTAGTCTGAATTATTATAACACTTAAATTTTTCAATTTCTTAAATGCATTGTTTTTGTTCATTAAAATAATGTTGACACAAAAATAGCATAATCCATTATCAAAACTTTTTGTGGAAAACTGTAATTTGTAATAATAGACAGACTATTTTGCTTATAGTTCAGAATAAAAATAGACTTATTGGCTGTTTCTTAGTTTTTATTGGAAAAGGTGTTTGATTCTTTGGAATTTTGCTGAAAAGTAAGTTTTTGGTGGGTTATATGTGAACTCGGTATGAAAATACTGCAACAAGTATTTGAGTGGTTTCCAACTATTTTCATGTATCGATCTTTTTAAGAGAGATTTTTTTCATCAACACCTTAATTAATTAATATATATGCAATATTCTTCCTACATAGTTTTTAAAAGGCAATCTTTCTAAATTTATTTGAGTGGAAGAAATTGGAAAATTTTTAATACTTGTAAAGTTTTATTGATTCATTGGGGAATCATGATTTAATTAATATTTGAATTTATTCTAAATATTGTTCTTTGTAAGTTGATAGAAAAGTTTTTATTTTAATAATTTTTTTTTACTGGAGAAATATAAACTGAATTAATGTTTTCAGAAAACTGCAACTGCTGTCGCTTACTGTAAAAGAGGAAATGGCTTGATTAAAGTAAATGGTCGGCCATTAGAGATGTTGGAGCCACAGGTTTTAAAATATAAGGTAAAGTATTTAAGAGTAATTTTCAGTTTCTTTGCAAAATAGTATTTCTGACATGTAAATTTTAGTATTATATTCATTTATATTACAATTTTAAATACATGTTAAAGAGATCAGTTCATTTGTACTTATAAAATTTTTCTATTACCAATGTTTTTAGAGCTATTAATTAATTTAGGTATTATACTGGTCACTTGCACTGATTTATATATGTATATATAGTAACATAGGCAACAACCCAATTCAATATGTATTCAAAAATGATGGCTGGATTATTTATTGTGCTATAGTAACTTATTAAGTCTAATTTATTAGATATAAAACAATTTGGCTAGAGGTAGGTAGTTAGGCTGCCATCTCATGATGATAAATGATACATGCATCTGTATGGTAAACAGGAGATACAGATTTGAGCCTTACTCCAGGCAAACTTTTTTTCCAGAGTATTCTAACTTTAAATTAATAATTTATTTCTAATTAATTTTTAAATTTATCATGATGGTATCCTAACCATCTACTTTTACTTCTAGCCAATTTGCATTATTATTTATTTGTAATTATTAAATTAGCCTTATTAATATCACCCAGTAAATAATCCAGCAGCTTGTTTGTCAATACTAATTGAATCAGGTTGCTGTATATTATGTTTCATGACCATTTAATCTTTCAAGTCCTTGAGTCTCTAGTTCTGTATCTGCTGAAAGTGCATTTTTGTTCTACATACTATCATATATGGTAATTAATGGAATACACATAATTTAAATGTTTACTGTAGATAAAAGAAAATTGTCACTTTTAAATAGGTCTGAATTAAATACTTTTTTTTAATGGAATAAATAAAGGATTTAATAATTTCAGTCTGCAGGTATTAACTTATATTTTAAGATATGGAAATACATATTTTATAAAGCTGCATCTGAGCAACTTAATTTCAGACTGACAGTTTTGATATGAAGAGTTTTCAGTAATTAAAGAGTAATAACATTTCTAATTAGAATATTATGATTATATTAATGAGTAGGAGGAAATAAAAACTGATAACAAATACAAACTTGGTGTAGAATAAAAGCATAACAAATCATTTATCAAATTCTAATTATCTAATTTTCACTCCTTTATTTATACCAAAACAAATTCTAGATGTTAAATTTAAAGAGTTTAAGAAATTTAAAGAACAGAATTAAATGAAAACTTTTAAACTAGTTGAAATTTAATTTCTTTTATGTATATGAAAATATAATTTCAAAAAGCATTTGTGTACAGTTAAGTATGTTTATGTATACATAGCAAGGTGTGTGTATCAAATTAGTTTTTCACTTAATCATAAAATTCCTTTTTAAGACTCAAATTTATTTACTCATATAATATAATTTAAGTATTAGGGGCAGTCAAATGAAAATGAGATGGGTGGGAAAAAAGTAAGTAAACTGTTCATTAATTCAAAAGTAATTGTCATAACTGTTGATACATTTATCCCACTGTGAGACAAGATGGTCAATGCCTTCATAGAAAAATGTTTGCGGTTGCTACAGAACCATGATTGTACCCAAGCGTGCACCTTTTCGTCCAAAGCAAATTGACAGTCACGAAAAGTCTTTCTTTGGGGCTCCAAAAATATGGAAATTGCATGGGGAGAAATCCGGACTGTATGGAGGACGTGTGTGGACTATGCTGCAGAAGTTCCCAGCAAAACTTTGCAGCGTAATCAAAACAACCTTGGTAACATGTGGGTGGTCATTATCCTGCAACAGAATGATACTGTCTGTCAACATTCCTGGGTATTTGGATTTGATGGCACGCTTCAATTTTTGCAAAGTTTCTATGTACTGCTGTGCATTAATTGTGGCACCATGTTCCAGAAAGTCAACAAGCAGCAGACCTCCATAGTGATGTTGGATGCACACACAACTCACCAACCTCACTTCGAGCACGTCTAACAGACAAATGGTACAGCAGTGAACGTTTACACTTTTCCTTCCTGGTTCCCAATAGAGGGCACTTCTATATGCACATCTACCTGCATTACCAACTTCCGTGCCAACTTGTTATATAGTCTGTCTCATTTTCATTTGACTGCCCCTAATATAATATACATAAATTTTGAAATGTGAAATTATAAACAGTTATATATCAGAAGTAATCCAGTAAGTTCTACTAATTTAGAATAAAATCTTATTAAGAAAAACATTCTAGTTTGAATTGGAGAGGAAATTAGTACAGAACATTTCATGAATAAAATATTTCAAAATTTGTGTATTGATGTTAATCAAGTGAAACTGGATTATGATGATGATAGTTTTAAATTTATTTTTAGCTTTTAGAACCAGTTCTTTTATTGGGAAAAGAGAGATTTGCAGGAGTAGATATTAGAGTAAGAGTTAAAGGTGGTGGTCATGTTGCACAGATTTATGCAATTAGACAGTCCATTTCTAAAGCTTTGGTTGCTTATTACCAGAAATGTAAGTATATTTTTAATAATTTGCATCAATATTTATGAATAATTTTTATATAATAATAGTATAATTTTTTTTTTTTACAATAGATATAGATGAAGCATCCAAAAAAGAAATTAAAGACATTCTCATTCAGTATGATCGAAGCTTATTAGTGGCTGATCCACGTAGATGTGAACCCAAGAAGTTTGGTGGTCCAGGTGCAAGAGCACGATACCAGAAATCTTACCGTTAAAATTTTTATGGGTTTATTTCTGATGGTTTATGTATGCCAAAAATAAAAAATGAAATAACGAATTTGTCATTTTTTAGTTTTAAGGTTGAATTATACAAATTTATCTTACTGTTTCAGAGTTTCGCGTGCGGTTAATTTCGATGAAAATTTGGTTCCATCAAAATTCTGATCTCACGATCCACAAATGTGTTGGAAAAAATTCCAAAATGAATATTACATACAGAATATAACTACCTAAAAATTATAAAACGTTAAATTCATAGGAAATACTCAATATTGTGCGATACTATATTAGACTTTCTAGTTTCTCTTCAAATATATGTCGTAAAATGTTTTATAAAATTGAAGGCATTCTGATGGAAAACGATTGAAAAGCGTTGATTTAATATACAGTATAAAGAAATATTCAGAATTTAACTAATTGAAACATCCTGTTTCTCATATGTATCTTGAGTATAATTTAGATTAACGAAGGTTTCTGATAGGCTCGTTCTCGAATAACGGCAAAGTTGCGTACAGACTTGAGTACGTCCGAACACACTCGTATGTGAACATCTCAATGTGTTTGTGGAAAGTCGCAAGTCGGCTTGCGCCTTTGAACTAAACTGTTTTTCTCGTTCAGCACTTAAACATTCGTGCACCTATTCTCAATTAGGACGCTGATATCGTGAACATTGTAATTAATTTAATTTTATTATTCAAATATGGCATAGAGTCGGTTAATGAGAAATGTTTGAAATTAATAGGCGTTTCCGAAAAAGACTATTGTGGCGTACGAAAGATACATATTTCTACCGTAAAAACCAGGGCTGCGGAGTCGAGTCAAAAAATCCGCCGACTCCGATTCCTTTTTACTTCCCAACTCGTTATGTATATAAAACGAAAAAGTATTGGAATCGCGTCAAATTTGGCCCTCCAATTTTTTTTTTTCAAATTACACGTTTTGAGACCTCCCGAATTCCCAAAAAGTCAATAAAAGGTGAAAAATTCGCTCGCGTATGTTGGCGTTTAATTTCTTTATTTTCTGTTCTGAGATGATAATATCTCAATGGGTAAAGTTTAAGAAACGAAATGTGGCATTGTAGCTTGCATATAAAGAGGCATTAATACTTTTTTTTTATAACTCTATTTAAAATTTATTTTGTATTACTAGTACTTTCTATATATTAAAACAACATAACACCCAAATTAATGAAACAACTCAAAAATATTTTAATTATTAAACCTTTTTGTTCCTTTTTTTTTATAACTCTATTTAAAAATTTATTTTGTATTACTAGTACTTTCTATATATTAACAGGACTTATTATACTGGAATTATGGATGCAGATATTTAGTCTTACAGTTCAAAAATAATGTTCTTTATTTAGTTCACCTGAACACATACACTTTAAACATGTGTTTCGGACTTGCTCGTCCCTCTTCAGCAGGCCTTCCAACGACACTTTCTATAATTAACAACAATCAACAATAAAAACATTNCACCTAAGACTAAATACGGCCGTGAGACCGATAGCAAACAAGTACCGTGAGGGAAAGTTGAAAAGAACTTTGAAGAGAGAGTTCAAGAGTACGTGAAACCGCTTCGAGGTAAACGGATGGGCCCTCGAAAGTCGCAGGTGAACTAAATAAAGAACATTATTTTTGAACTGTAGACTAAAAATCTGCATCCATAATATCTTGGGATTTTTCGATCCCAGGTTCCCCAGAGCGATAGACTGTCACCTTGATCGCTTGGGCATCCGGCCGTCGATATATCTGCTTTAGAGACCTTACGTTAGAGACCCCTACAAGTTGAAGTAGTATATTTATCTCAGCGAGCCACACTACTAACCAAAAACAAAAAAAAACAAAAAAACGAAATTACTGTATGTCTTAAACATAAGATATTTTCACTCATTTGTTTCAACGATCCCCATCACTGATATCCATGTTAACGAAATATATTATATTTGGAAACATTGACAAATGATTAACATGCAGAACTGAATGTGATCATAAATAATAAACTGAATAGTTTTTTGTTACTGTTAATTGGCTATACATTTTATATATTTGCTCCTGCTGCATCATCTGGCGTCAGAAGTTATTACAGTAAGAAGCAGAAACTTACTCAAATTAAATCATTAAATCGTTGATCTCTTGTTCAAAAATTACAAAATTTGTTATACAATTTAAAATATATTTAAAGAAAAATGATATTCCATTACTTAGAGAGAATGTTAAGGACAAAATGCACAATAGATAACATAATACTACAAAAATTATTTTAAAAAACAGTCTCACAAGAAATAAAAATTATTGGAAACTTTTATAGACCTAATTCGCTTGTAAATAATTTCTACCTTTATGCAATAACGGTGGAAATATTTGCAAGTCAATAGTATATATATTCTATATTTATAAATAATCGATGTTAGCAAAAATTATAATTAATGAGTTCAATTTAATTATGTCCTAAATTAATTCAACATAATTTCTGCTATTAAATAATTGTGTACATTCGGTACAGTAGTAACATAAACGCCATCGTGATAATTATCTCAGACATTAGAATATTAGATTTATCTATCACGAAACGAGTGAACATACAACTTGCCCCAAATTGCTTATCGATTTATTCATAACATTTAACATTGGGCGCATTGCCTAGTAAAGTTGCTTTAATACAGCTGGATAAGCAAACCAATGACATAGTCGATTTTAAATAAAACGGACTACATGATTGGTTTGCTTATCCAGCTGTATTAAAGCGGCTTTACCAGGCAACACGCCTAATATTTTTAATGGCTACACTTACTCAAATCGCTTTCTTAGTTTAGTAAGAAATTCATTTAGCAGATATTTTACAGTTCTAAAACCTGATTTTAAGTCTAATATTATTGTTAATTGTCTACTTGGACATTATTTATTAATAGGACTTAATATTATTAAGTCCTATTAATAAATAATGTCCAAGTAGACAATTAACAATAATATTAGAATTTAAAAGGACAGTAAGGCTTTTACAATTACAATTACTGATTTTAAGTCGTTTTAAAGTTGATTAAATAAAATATACAAATCAAAGTACAGTATATCAATTTTATTAAAAGAATGATTCAAAGTAAAGATTGATACATTTATAATAATGTTAAAACTAAACTAAAATAAGTTGCTGAAACCTTTTAAATGATAATTACTGTTTCTTATATAAGCAAATCACGTGTTTCAATAGTTATCAGTAAAATGTACTACAGTAACTACACATACTACAGTCTAATACACATCTACAGAATTAGCAGTATGAATAATTCTGTTCCAGACAGGCATATTCTTTAGTCTTCTAAATTTAAATCAACTGGGGACAGTGGCGAGCAGGGCAATCGCCCGGGGCCTCGCGCAACAACCAAGTAGAAAAAAGTTGATATTTAAAACTTTTTATTTTACCCTTGGCTATTAGTTATAACAATAAAATAAATTTAATTTATTGTACAGTATATATTAATATTAATAAGTGCCTACTATTTCAATTCACATACTTTGCACAAAGGACAAGGGCCTCGCAAAGATCTGCCGCCCAGAGCCTCGCAATGGATAAGGCCGCCGCTGACTGGGGATAATAGCCTACATCTGAAATAACACTCATAATACGTCTAAATTTTAAAATTTAAACACGTGCCCGTATTTTAACTANTTGGAATGCAATTTTCAAATTGCAAACCTATAGAAAGTGCCTACTATTTCAATTCACATACTTTGCACAAAGGACAAGGGTCATACTTTGCACAAAGGACAAGGGCCTCGCAAAGATCTGCCGCCCAGAGCCTCGCAATGGATAAGGCCGCCGCTGACTGGGGATAATAGCCTACATCTGAAATAACACTCATAATACGTCTAAATTTTAAAATTTAAACACGTGCACGTATTTTAACTACAAATTAAAATTATTGAACATTTAAAATTTGTAATGGCAATAAATTATTTATAAATTTCTTAAACTGTTTTTATATTTTTGAAATATAAGAGTAAATTATAAATATGATTAATGTAGCTCGCCTCTAAAGTTTGATGATGTAAAATTTACAGTACACAATTACCTTATAGGAGACTTTTGAAAGAACAGCACCATCAAAACTTTGTTGATGCAATTATTTCAAATCATTGCCATGTACTGTATTGTACTGTACGTTTCCTAAAATGCAAGAGGCAACTCCCTTCCAAATCTGGGCAAAACAATGTGAGACTTCGAGCGTAGCAAGAACAAAAAATCAGACAGAGAAAGCATAAAGGGTAACAAATTATCAGTAAAGGAAAATTAAAAATTGGCAGGCCTATTTGTGTAAAATTTTGACCAATAGCTCTGTTCGCTTAAACAAAGTGTTTCCGTATTTCTGTTTTTATGTCCACTTCATAAATGAACAAAAATAGACAAATGAATATTTTTCTGTAGTTACCAGAAAAATATTCATTTGTCTATTGTTTACACATAAAATAAAAGGTATGTCCGCCCGACGTGGGGCTCGAACCCACGACCCTGAGATTAAGAGTCTCATGCTCTACCGACTGAGCTAGCCAGGCTTATTTGGGTGTGTCTCTGTGGACTACTTTATGTTAGCCATGTATGTGGTTGAAAACTACTAAATGATATTCAATAATTATGATGTTTATGTTTTAATGTTTTTGATTATGTTTATTATGACGTCAAGAAATTAATCTTAAAACAACAAAAATCTATTGTGAAATACGATATACCGTATTATGTGACTCGTACATACAGACTATTATATTTGAATTTAGATTATAAATGATCTGATATCGAATTTTTTAAATTGAACATGAAAGTAATACTTTTCTACTAAAGAAATTGTTTCAATTGAAAAAAAAAATGTAAAAAAAACAAAAAGTTCTTTGTTTTGCAATAGAAATACTGTATTGATAAAACGACTGGCACTTTGGCAAAATTACATCAAATTTGTTGGACTACAGTTACCAAAAATTGTGAAACCATAAGATTAGAACATCACTAACCAACTGATGCTCAGAGTTGTGCATGAAAAGTTCCGAAAAAAATTTTTCTAAC